ATAAAGGGCAACTCCCTCTCCTCGCCTTCCAGCCTGTTCTTCCTAAAAGCCCATATCCCTCCATTGCAGCACACCAACCACATAAGCCACCCCACCATGTCTCTGTGATCCCCGTGAGGTCCTAGCCCTGTACCTGCAGACAGACTTCTGACTGCTCCTGTTTGCTCCCTCCCCACGCTGCACGCATTAGTGGAAGGGCATTTCAGAGAGGTGTCAAGGGTTAGTTATCTTCACAGCTTATGGGATGAGATACCATCCTCTCAGCTTCTCCCACAAGACAGATAGGTGGTTTTGTTGTTTAAAGAACAGTTTCCTCCATCTCTCCTTGTGCACACTACGTAAAGGCTTGTTACAGTAAAATGAAAATTAAAAAAAAAAGATTTAAGTGTTTTATTTGTGGAAGAAGATCACCAATATTAATGACACAGGAAGTGTCAGGAGTATAATTTAAAAGCTCTGCTGTGTGAGGTTGAATCAGACCCATTATCTTTTGTCTTTGAAATTATTAATGCTGTTGCTGGGTTTTGTGTTTTCTTTTGCCCTAAGGGCTCCCATGGCTGAAAGTGTCTCCACTAGGGAATGATCTCCTGCATATTTTTTCCCGCTTGCTAATACTATCTTGAAAATAAAAAGTCACTGAACATTAAAAAGTAGATCATAACTCAAGATTTTTTTGATGACAAATACTAACATTTTGGTGTTTGATTTTCTTCTGCTCTAGCACAGCAATAGATCTTCTAAAACGGATTCCCTCCATCAGCTCAAGGACAAGCAAAGCTATGTGGCTCAGGGATTTATCTAGGATGTGAAGTTCTCGGGATCAAACCCATGCTTCAAAGTGAGCACAGCAAGGGCCCCTGTGTCCCAGTCCGTGAACTAATCTGGGAGAAGTGGGGAGAGAGTCTTCTTCCTATTTGTTTTGATTATTTTTTTTTCCTAGCCTGTAAATCATGCTGTTCCTTAAGTAATCATTTAGCCTCGGAGCACAAGAGTCATAAAGCAAGAAAAAAAGAAGCAGAAGAATCAATTTTAGTTCCTGTAAGCAGGAGATGAGAAGTCTGTTTAAAAATTTTCCTGTAAGCAAGAAGATTGTGTATTCTGTTCCTTACAAGAGTGCTCACTGAGCGCTGCAATAACAGATGCCGGCAAAGCTGTGGCAGTGAGCTCAAGCAGCTACCAATGTAGCAGGAGTTGCTGAAGACCAGCCACACTATCCGCTGCAGCTTGCAGGGGACTTTTGTACCAGGGGGGTTGATGACAAAGCCCTGGGATTTCACAGTTGGAAGGGAGGGTGGAAGAAAGCAGCTGGCCTAGCAGTTGCCTCCTCAGCAACCCAGAGAGGGGGACTATAAATAATCATATGGTGCAGAAGGATTAATTAAGTGGTGAATGTTACCTGTATTATTTCCCTGTTGTCCTTTGCTTTTCTGTCTTCGACAGCATACTGCTTGTGAAGCCAATTAATTGATGTTTGCAAATGGGAATTCAGCTCACTGAGCACCACGAAGTTTAATTTTTTCTGAGGGCTCAAGAGAGCGTTGGTGACATTAATGTATGAACTTGTGTTGTCGCTAGTCAGCTCCTGGCAGAAGGATTATGTGGGATAAAACTCAAGGAAGGGTAATTATACCTTGAACTCTACCTGAGGTTGCCAGCTGTGCTTTTTGGAGAGGTCTAGTCCTGTGCTTCTTTGAGATCTAGCAAACTAAAATACTCAGCAAGGCCAGCACTGCCAGCCTCCCGTGGAATGGCTGGCTATTACAGAAGGTCTTAGGGTGAGCCAGCTGTCTCCTGAACTCTTCCTCACCTGGTTTCTCCAGTGCCTGGCTACCACCTCTTGCCCTCATCCCACTTTATGTACTCAGAAACATCACTTGCTTTGATCCTCAGATCTGAACCACCTGTATTGCACTTTATAGTGCTATATAGTGCACTATGTAACACTATGTTAGTCATTTGTACACTTTATAACTGAAAATTAAGAAATTAATATTGATGTACTTTTATAGCTTTATAAGGAAAAATATACACAAACTCATATAAGGAAAATAAAGCCAAATTCCTGATACATCCAGGTGGGCTTATGAGTATCTCACTGGCCACTCGTGACAGACTGCCCTTTTGCAAGGAACTTAGCCAACAGGATTGCATCTTTTAGAAATTTGTTTATAATTGCACCTTTAGATACCACTTATACAACTAGAGTAGCAGTTTTAGAGTGAATTCAATTACCTGATGCTCAGTCAATCTTTGAATTGGAGCATTAAGCCACTGACATCTAATTCATGCAGCTATACAAAAAGCTGTGCCTTTCAACATGTGAACGTGAGACAGACTGCATGTGAAACTGGTGAATACACCAACAGAAAGCAGGTTGAAGTTTTGTATAAAATGTGAATGAGGTGGTGCTTATGTTCTTTCCAAAGAGGCAAAAGCATTTCTTATGGAGATTGAGAGCCTGCTAGTAAATTTTTGTGAGGTGTGTGCCTGGGGAGGCTGTCTTGCTTTCATAGGTTTGTACGGGTGTTTGCTTTGATGAATTCTGATCTGCACTTGTTTTTTGATGAAAAAGAAGCTGTCACTTTTAAATAATTTTTTGTTGTTGTTCTGTGCATGAAAGTACAGCTACAATATGGAAAATAGAAATTGATTACGTTTGAATCGCTGATGAATACATGGCATCAGGGTCTTTTCATCAGACAACATGAAAATGTCATCAGCAACCTTGTGTTGACAGAGGCACTTGTGATAACTTGTACCTTTTTACATGGGAGTCAGTTTTAAAAGTGATTTTTTTTTTTCCTGAGTGTGAAGAATGATCAGGGCAGTGAGCCAAGGAATTCCTGTATTTCCCCAGAGCCCCAGGAGAGGGGATGCTGCTCTCCTGGAGCACTGAGCCATCCTGCAGCTCTGTTGCCCAGTCCATTATTACTGTAACTGTGCTCTAATCCCACAAGTGGGAAGGGACCAGGAGGTACTAAGCAAAACTAACGATTTCAACCCAACCTAATACCATAATTTTTTTGTGGTTTCAGCAATTAGATCAGGCTTATTAGTAATCATTGGTCTACAGAGTGGTTAAAAGGAAAGAACTGTGGTTTTCCACAAGGATGTTGGCATGGCCTTTTGTGTGCCATTTATCAAAGAGGTTTTTTCAGTGCTGCCCATTTCATTTGTCTCTATGGCTCAATGGCACAATCAGAAATCCACAGCTGCTTACCCAAAAATTATTTAGACCTGTTGTCTGACGCTGAGCCTCTTTAACCAGGAAGCTAAAGGAGCCGCTGACAGGACAGACAAGCTTAGTGATGGATCTTGAGGCGGGTCCACTCAGGGATTGCTCTGTTATTTCAGCAGGTGGTATTATCTGTTTTGGTATTTCTTCCCTGGGAACTCTTACCAGGGAAGGACCTATTGCTTGTTAAAGGTTTTGTTTCATATTTTTGGGTGGCATCTAAATACTTCAGTCTTGTAGAAAAGTCCACTGGAGCAAGTTACGCACCCTTGCAGAGGGCAAGCAAGATATTAACTGGAAAAATACCTTCACTCACCCCACCTTCTCTCTCAAGGATGCCTAAAAAGGACCTCCTTTTCAGATGCATGTGGCTTGTGGAATACAAGAGTGCCAATCTTTTCATTATACTGGATTTATTTAACATGCTATATGACTTTATCAATTTCAAAAGAAGTGGAGAGAAAAGAAAGCTTTGCCTTTCTAGTTAGAATAAGTTGTTTAGCACACTTGAAAAAAAAACCACTTGTTTTTTTTCTTAAGAAAAATAGAAAAAAGAAAAAGAAAATCCCTGAAATTCTGAATTCTTTTGAAACAGTGCTTGTTGTTCAAGGAATGTAGCACAAGAACTTAATTTAAACTTCCCACGGTGGTTTGTTTCCTTGGAAGCCTGTCAAATCTTGGTGGCACAATAGTCAGTCACTTTCTTAGGGCTGAAAGGATCAAAAGCAGTTGGCAACTAGAGATTACTGTTTTCACCTGCATTCAGCTAGACCTGTTAGAAGCTCTTTTAGTAAAATGTTGCTCCTAAATGGAAAAGATCCCCAAAGTCAGTGAGACTTGATGAGTTTGAATTGATGTGATTGCAATGGAGTGCTAGAGAATGAAGCATAGCGAAAACAATGGCTCTGATGGAACAAGACCTCTGTGAGTACTGTTCATTATATCTGTCTTTACAGATATAAAAGAAGAAGTTTCTTTTTCCATTTCCTGTCATCTGCTGCCTGGCCAATTTCAGTCCATAGAAACTTTTCTCATCCTTTCTGCTTTGCTTTTTTCATCACAATTCTCAAACTTGAGAGCTACATGTCAAACAGCTGAGGAACGCCGTGTCATCTAGGGTTCAGGCAAGAATATTAAAAGCAATTATTGCTGCCTGCACAGTTTCTGGGGCAACAAAGAACATTACCATCCTTCTTCAGTTTCGAGCTGATATTCTT